GCAGGGAAAACACCCTGTCAGAGCACGGAGGTGGTTGAAGAAACCAGCAGGACAGGCATGGCATTCGTCAGGGTGCTTTGCAAGGCTGCTGTTCCCATGCGTCCCGGGGGGGCAGGGCACAGGGGCATGTGCCATGGGAGGGCAGTAATAGCCTTTGGGGCAGGGCTGCTGGAGGTAATTTGAACTGCCTAGGGGGAAGTAACAGAGGCAAGTCAAAGGTGGCTGTCCCCTGCACTGGTGAAATGGGAAGGACCTAGCTCACTGCATTATGAAGGCAAGCAAGGCGGTTAATTATTTAACTTAGAGCTCTGGATCCGACGGAGCCCAGAGACCTGGATCACCTGTGAGGTCCCAGCCCCGCGCACTGCCCAGAGTCTCAGCAGAATCACCCTGTAACCTGCCCTGGCTCACAGGCTTATCACACCCCTGAAGCCCCCTGGATTCTCAGTTACCGGGTGGGCAGGTGAAGCCGGCTGGGCAGGGCTGGCAGGATGGCGTGGTGAGGAAGTCACTACGGTAGGTGCCAGCATCACAGAGCCTGCAGCATGTCTCAAAGGAGTCCCTGGGGCCTGTCACATTGCACGCCATGTATCCTCCTTTGCAAGGAAGCGGATGCACACTCCCGGGGGGGCAGTAATAGGGAAACACACACCTAAAGAGAGACACGGAGGCAGGAGGCAGGGTGAATGGGAAAAGTTCTTGGCTGATATTCCCAAGTGCCCTCCTGCCAGGCTGACAGGAAGCTCTAGTCTGCAGCAACTTTGGCACCTGCCTGCAAGGAGAGAGCTGCTGCATTTCAGAGGGAGTGACAGAGTGCAGAAACAAGTGAAATCTGTTCAGAAAATACACAGAATCCACTGAAATGCACCCGAAGTTATCTTTTCTTCACCGTGAACAGTGTCGTGGTATCCCAGGTCACTATAAGCACAGTCCGCTGTACAGACAGCTGTTGAGAACCCAGAGCTACAAAGCTGGGGATGCTTTGAAGAGATAGGTTCAAAGTCAGCTTGAGCTGTGCTAGTACTGTAACACTGGGCCGGGCTGTTAGCCTGTGCATGGGGAAATCAGCACCTCAGACCAAATCTGCCAAGCCAGCTTTGAAATTAGCACTCTGGATGTGCTCGCACATATGTGACTGCAGTGCATGGCATACACGGGACTCTGCTTTTCCTGTGCCCACAGATACCATTGACAGCTGACAGGCTCCCAGGGTCCACTGCCAAGGATGTAACTAGAAAACTTCACGGGTTAGCTCAGCGTGCATCTGCTGCACACGTGAAGTGGATTTGTGCTCTGTCCTCTGTCCTGTCCCCTGGCCCAATTGCAGGCTAATTAACACAAATTAAAAAGCACTCTCATTAGCTCCAGCAGCTTCCAAATCTATGGCTGTGGTGGAAGACACATCTGCAATGTTTGCCATATGCACAAAGGTTGTGGTTGAAACATTAATCCTGGTTTGACAACAAGTGGATTTCACAGTGGTCAGAACTTCTTAGAGGCTTTTGCTGCCTTCACCTGTCTCCCGTATACTCACAGCTGCTCAGGGGCATTGTACCTCGAGGATCCTTCAGGACAGTAATACCCCCCAGGACACATGGAAGGGACCCCTGTATGAAGCCCACAGTAGAAGCCAGGTCTGCATATGATTGGATTTACTGAACCTGAGGGGACACAAGCACCAGAGACCCAATGAGCCTGGGGACATTTCCAGCCTGTGATTATCTCTGCATGACCCACGTTTCCCAGCACACACTGAAGGCCAATGGAAACCCACTGAAGTAGGCTTGAACACAAAAAGGGTTGGGTGCATTTGGATGTTGCAATTGGGTGCTGCAAGGCACCTGCTCTTCACTAGCCTCATCTCACTCCACTTGGGGCTTATGCACACTGCAATTGAGGACAGGATTCAAGGGGCAAGATCTAGTTTCAGGGATCTGGGACTACTGCCATGTCCCCCACAATAATCATTGCCCCTGAGGCTCACTGCAGAGTCACCATTGCCAACTCCTGTCAGACCCACTGGGTGCTGGGTGGCATTGCAGAGGTGCTGGCAGACAGCAGAACAAGAAAGAGAGCCAAGGGGCATGAATTCCTCACCAGGTGGGCATTCATAGCCAGGTTCACAAGGTGTTCCTTGGATGTTGGGCATCTTTGTCTGGGCTGGGTCTGGGCAATAATATCCAGGAGAGCAGGGGTCACACTCGTCCAAGGAGGCTGCACCAGGCTGGGTCCTGAAGGTGCCAGGTGGGCAAAGAAAAGTGCTTCCTTCCCCTGGGCACCAGTGCCCAGGGGGGCAAGGGTAGTCTTCAAAGGTGGTAAGGCCTGTGGAAAAGAGAATGGAAAAAAGAGAGAGGAAGCAAAGAGGGCTTTAGAGGAATGTGCTCCCACTCCCTTGACCATCCATAGCTCGTGCAGCTTTCCTTGGCATCTCGCATGGCCCCACCCCCTGCCTCCACGCACTCATCCTTTTCCATGTAGGGATTTGACCCTGCATCTGGTTTCAATAGCAGCAACGTGGGGCCCTCACCTGACATGGGGCAGCGGTAGCCAGGAGGGCAAGGCTGGCAGTCTGCAAGGCTCTGTGCTCCTAGGCCTGGGTAGTAGGTATGCTCAGGACACTGCTGAGGGACCATGAAGCTGCTGGGACCAGTGACGTTCCCCCCAGTGCAGTAGTGTCCAGAAGGGCAGAGGTAGCTCACTGGGTCTCCTAAACACACAGACAGCATAAGCATCAGTGGGGGGACCCTCACCCACCACCCCGGCCCTCCTTCCCCTGCCTCTTCCCCAGGCCTCTTCAAACTCTCATACACATCCAATCTAGCCACAACCCCAGCATCAGTTTGGGGCACAAGAAGATTAGAGCCTGGGTTTGGCCTTGGGTCCCTCTCCAGATAAGGTCCTATTAGTATTTAGAAAGGGGGCAATAAATTAATAAATAATCCTCCTAGTGTGAATCATGTGGGGATTTGTTCTTTCCTCAGCAATGTTCAGCTGGCCACAGTGGAGGCAGGATACCTGATTGCCTGGGCCAGCTGGGTGGTCCCTGTGCCCGAAGGTCTAGTCCCTTATGCCCAATCCCAGCCTGGCTAGACTCAGCAATGTGCCACACACGCATGGAAAGTGACTCCTGTTCCCCCCTGAGCCCTGACCTGCTTGACACCAGCGGCCTGGGGGGCAAGGCAGGCAGTCTTCTCTTTGGCTGGCCCCTGGGACAGTTCGGATAGTGTTGTGGGGGCATGGTGTGGGCACCTCGGCTCCCTCCTGGCAATAGAAACCTAGAGGAGGAAGACAGAAGGTGTCCTGATGGAGAAGATGACCCAGGGTCTGTCCCAGAATGAGCATCTACAGGGTTGGGGAAGCACCATTCTTAGGAAGAGGAGAGCCAAATCAATCACCAGTACAGTGAACTACCAAACGAGGGGTAAGGGCTTCAGATTCAGGGCTCTTGCTCAGGTTTGCCCCGAACTGGAACCCAGAGACCCCTGCTCAGTCACTGAGCGCAGCAGGTACCAGGATGAGAAGAACTGGAGCTAGACTTGGGCTAAGCTGTAACCTTCAGCCAGGGTCTGAGTGATACCACACCCTGCATTGATTGGATTTGGGGGTTTGGTCAGTTGATGGAGAAAGAGAAGGAGCCAGTGTGAGGTTGTGAGGAGTGCAGCACTTCTAAAACCAGATATCTGTCGCAAACGGCTCCATGCTGGTGGGCACATACCTGCAGGGCACAGTCCTGCGCACACCTGCCCCCAGGGACACTCAGCCAGGGAGCTCCATGGGAAGTCATGGCCTTGGGGAGTTGATTCAAAGCTCCTGGCCTGGCAGAAGTACCCAGCAGCACACTTCCCCTCCAGCCGTCCGCCCCTGGTGTGAAGAGAGCAGGGGGAAATGTATATGGGAAACAGAGTAATGCAATGCATGCACACACTAAGACATGCAGGGGCTCCTGTACACAGTACACCCATGAGACAGAACAACCAAGAGGCTTATACCAGAAAAAGGTGCAAGTTGACCAATTCTCTGAATAATGGATACATGTATTATAAAGGAGATGAGGCAGGGGCTCTCAAGTTTCAGTACTGACCCCACCACAGATTCCTTCTGTGACCTCCAGCAATTCACTTCAGGTGAAACTGTCACTGGCTTTCAGAAAATCTTTGGCTCCTAAGTGCCAAACTCTCTTTTGAAAATGGGCCTTGGGTGCCTGCATTACTGAGAGGTCTCTGCAAGCATGAACATGTCCTTGCCTTTGCCTTGGCCTTGTCTGCACAGGGGGGGATAATGTTGCTCATTATCCTTTGATATGGGTCAGAATACATTTGCTGGACCCCAACACCCTCAGTGCTTGGGAATTTCTGTGTCCAAAACTTATGCGTGGGGCTCCAGTCTGTCAACCTCTTAGAAGACAGAACATAAAACACCACTAAGGGCAAAGTGACCTTTTCCCTCCAGCTTCGCTCTGGATCACAAAGAATCTGCAGTACTCGCAATAAACATTTTTCATTTTTTTTCAACTAGAAAAAAAATGCAGAAAATGTACCAGCTACTTCCCCAGTTTTCCCTGAGAAACCTGAGTATGACGTCTAGCGTGACATAAGTGGTGTAGAGGAGTGGGAGGAGAGGGTGCATTTCTATCCTCCTAGCTTCACAACACAAAACAAAGGAGAGTTTCCATGAGCCTGAAGTTTGGAAATTCACACCTGAGCAAAGAGAAGATGCTTCACGCCATGGAAATCATTGCCACAAGAAGGCACAAAGGCCAGAGTGTTGCAATTCAGAAATGGAGATGACCGGCTCAGATAACCATAACAGGTCCAGCCCTCAGCTGGCCCAAGTCTGCCACCCGGTGCCCTGCGCGTGTCCCAGGAAGCTGGAGCCAGCAACCACACAAGATAGGGCAAGGATTACTTCCTTCATAGAGTATTGCATAGAGCCATAAATCAGGCCCTGTGTAAAGGTTTCAGCACCGAGACTATTGTACTTTGGGACTGCTGCACCCACCATTAGAATGCGGCTGCTTCTGAGGTGGAACCCGCAGCTGCCCGACAGCACGTAACAACGCTGCGCAACAGTTTAGGGTGGGGACCAAAAAAAATACAACCAAAACTACAGTGCAGCAGGGAGAACTGTGACCTGCAGTAGTGACCAGCCGAGCAGGCCAGGCAATCCCTCTCGTCCTGCAGGCCGGTTTTGTTCGGAGGAGTAAATGTGCCATCAGGGCATGGATAAGGAACCAGGGTGCCTAAAATGGAAATGTGAGAGGTGATATAAAGGCAGAGGGTCACAGAAAGGCAATGGTATTTTTCAGCACAAGGTGCTTCATTCATGCAGCAGGCTGGTTACACTCAGTGACGATACAGGTTGGATGTGGAGCTCCTGTCCCTACCACGTAACCAGATGAGCACAGCCAGGGGGACGCGCCCACCAGGTCATTACTTATACGGGGTAATTATCCACCTGCTCCAGGCTGAGCAGTCTGAGCAATGCAAAGGGGAAGAGGCCTTACTCTTCCCTGCCTTGCTGAGGGTGCTGTGACCTCGGAGAGTGTTACATCCAAATGACACAGATGTAATGACTCCCTAAGATGCGATTCAGAAGAAGTCAGGCCCTTTCTTGCCACATCGCTCTTCATTCTTTAGTAAGGTGTATATGAGGTTTACTCCAGCCCTTGCCTGTGGTGAGATCCCCAAACATACGGTCAAGGGTAAGACACTCACATACCAGGGAGGGGAGGGGAAAGAGGGAAGTAGCAGCAGGGTGATGGGCAAGGGCATGTACTGACACATCCTATCCAGGGCAGCCAAAAGGACAGTGG